GATTTTGTTTCAATAAAAAATCCGAATATTGGTTTTTAGGGCTCGGGGTGTCATGAACCCTTAGATTTTTATCGATAGATATAATAATCTTCGATCTATGTTTTTAAATCGATCTGAGGTAAGCTCAGGATGATGTGAATCCTTGAGTTTGGATCGGAGTCTTAAGCTATAAGTTTTTGGCTCTCAAGCTATTCGAAGTTGGATCTCGGGCTCTCATACATCGGCCCTTAGGCTCTTTTAAGATTGGCCCTTAGGCTCTTACATCTTGGTCCTTAGGCTCTTTTTTAAGATTGGCCCTTAGGCTTTTATATCTCGGCCCTTAGGCTCTTTAAGTTAGCCCTTAGGCTCTTTCAGTTGGGCTGATTCGGCCTCTTAGTATGGCTATATAATTATCCCTCATTTCGGCTTAAAAGACTTAGTGAAAATTTAATTATGCCTTAGCTTGTTTTTTTTGTACCCGTGGGTTTTTCGTATCGGAACCTTATTAGCGATTTGGTTGTGCAAACGTATCCGAACACCTCTTGAGGTGTTTTCGAAGGTCGATGTTATCGAAGCCTTTAGAATTTTTGAGGGCTGAATTTACCGAAGCCCTTTGAATTTAGCTTCTGCCGAGGGTAGCCTGATTTAACCGATTTTTATAATGTTTTTGAAGGCCTTTTAATTTATAGCAGAAGTCGGACGTCTCCGAGCCGCATTATTTGGCCGTAGCCTTTTATTTGGTAGTAGCCTCTGGGTGTGTCACTTGGACTTATTACTCGATAACTCTCCAAACATTTTGGAGAAGTTAAACCCCGATAATATTGGCCTTGGCCTTTGTTTCGAAGCGGTGCCTCTTTGAGATCTTTATAAATTCGAATTTTGATGGTAGTCCCCGAGTATTCAGGGTGCTCCTATATCGTGGCTTTTATGCCGTTTCCCGTAGGATTGTAAGTGTAGAGCTTGTATGAGACACAAAGTATTTTTGATATAACGTGAATGCTTCTTCAAATAGTCGATACATGCATACATGTTTTGCTGCCGGAGCTCGACTATTCTATATGGACATAGCTCGTTTGACCATTTGGACCATTACAAAGTTTTCCTATCGAGGCCCTTTTAGGCGTGAAATATTTTTCACAAAAATGTAACCTCCGAGGGTGATGCCCCCAGTATTCGAGGTTGATTGAAAAGAAGCCTTGACTACTTGTTGGTCGTTCCTCGGGTAGCATATAGGTGTTTCCTCATTAAAAACCTTGTCGGTAAAACCCATTTGGGACAAAATCCGAGCTAAGGGAAAAATAGTGCAACGTATTCTTTATAACCTATGGCCTTTGTGTAGGAAGGGGAATTCTCGAGAGCACTAGCCTTTCAGAGCTTCCACTGTGTCGAGCTTGTTAGTTCCTTTCCCAACGACTCCGAGACTAAGCCCTGCTTTGATGCTGCGAATGCCGAGAAACTCAGTCGCCCCTAACTCCGAGGGAACGCTTTTTTGGAACGAACATCGTGTTGTATTGCCCCATAATATTAAGTATTTCCAGCAAATAAATTAAAGTGGTCCTCTGCGCACAGGGACTTAACCAGTCATATCATCAATATATGTTTTACCTATTTATTCTTCAAGCGGAATCCCAGTCATATCAAAACAATGCGATCTATATCATCAACAAGAGACTAAATGAGTTTTTTCCCGAGAGCGGGGATTTATCCCCTTCTCAGGGATACCTTTCTTTTAAGAGGTTGGCTGGGTAGAATCGAGCTTTTCAGGAACAACGAGGGCTCGAGGGTCTGGGAATTCCTTTCTTCGTCTTTGATTACCTGTTTATTTTGCTTCCGTTGATGCTCGGAGATGTTACTAGTACTTAGCCGCCTGCTTTCCTTTGGAGGTCGATGTATCCGAGATCAATGATTCTGGTGTAGGCGCCCTTTCCTCGATTGTGAACATCCCTTTTGTAGCATGTTGTTCTCCGTGGACTATTTTCATTCCTTCCTCTGTTAGGCTTTATCATCTGATGGAGAGCCGAAGGCACTGCCCTTATTTTTTGTATCCACGGCCTCCCGAGGAGTGCATTATACCTCATGTCACCTTCTATGACATGGAACCTGGTGTCTTGTATGGTACCGGCTACGTTTACAGGAAAGATAATTTCACCCCCTCGTGGTTTCACTTGCCATATTGAAGCCATTCAGCACCCGGGATGCAGGTACAATATGATCTTGTAGGCCGAGTTGCTTCACGACCCTCGATCTGATTATGTTCGTCGAGCTACCTGGATCCACTAAAACATGTTTAACCTGAATTTTATTCAAATGGATAGAGATTACCAGGGCATTGTTGTGAGGCTGGGATACGTCTTCTACTTCTTTATCGCAGAATGATAGAGAGTCCTCGGGAACATAGCTTCGAGTCCGTTGTTCCTTTCTGATAGATATTTTAGTACGTTTGAATGTAGGTCCCTGCGGGATGTCAGCTACTCCAATGATCATATGAATGACATGTTGGGGGTTTTTAGGTTCATTCCTCCAATTTGTGTCTCTTTCCCGAAAATGGTTTTTGGCCCGGTCAATGAGAAATTCACAAAGGGTGTCCTTCGTTGAATAGTCTAGCTACCTCCTCTTTAAGCTGTCTGCAATCCTCGGTCTTATGACCGTGAGTACCATGGTACTTACACATTAAGTCAGGGTTTCTCTGAGAAGAATCTATCTGTATGGGCTTGGGCCATCTAGTGCCTTTGATTTTGCCGATGGCTGAGACAATATTTGAGGCGTCGATAGTGAAGTTGTATTCTGATTACTTGGGAGCCTCCACTGGTCCCGAGCGCTTGTCGGACCCGATTTGACCCAAAAATCCCCGAAAGCTTTGGCCTCAATCTATTCTTCGACCATTCCGAGGTGCATTACGCCTTGAAATGTTCCTTCTATCTTTGACGTGCGGTTGATATCATTACTTGTTGAATCTATATCCCTGGTCCATGTCCCTTGGGGGTTTGACTGCGAATCTTTTTGGGTGAACTGAGCCCGAGGGGGCTCCTAACTCATCTTCCTCGACCCTAATCTTTGATTGATACCGATTGTGCACATCCGACCATGTCACGGTTGGATACTCAATCAAGTTCTGCTTTAATTATCGAGATGCTATTGAGCTTCTTTCATTCAAACCATGCATAAAGGCCTGCACTGCCTAGTCATCGGATGCCGGGGGTAGTTCCATCCTTTCCATCTGAAACCGGGACACGAACTCCCGTAGCACTTTGTCGTCCCTTTGTTTGATCTTGATTACGCCTGATTTTCTTGTGGCCACCTTTATGGCCCCGGTGTGTGCCTTTACAAAGGCATCCACCAGCATCGTCAGCATAGTCAAAGAATCAATAGAGTTAGGAGCTAAGTTATGATACCAGATGATAGCTCATTTTGGTAGTGTTTCTCCAAACGTTTTTAACAATACTGACTTAATTTTGTCATCATTCAAGTCATTTCCTTTAATTCCACAAGTCTAAAAAGTAATGTGTTCATTAGGGTCAGTTGTTCCAATGTACTTCGGTATATCGAGCATGTGGAAATTCTTGGGAATGGGCATCGGAGCCACACTCAAGGGGAAAGGTTATTGTATGAATTTTTTGGCAAATAGGCCCTTCAAAACTGGAGGTGCTACTGGTATCTGGTCTACCCGGAAGTTGTAAGTTTCCAACTTTTGATCATTGTCTTTTGTCTTCTTTTCTCCTGACTCGATCCTTTCAGTCAGTTCCTCAAGAATTTTCATGATAGTGGGTCAGTCCCCGAGCCGCTTTCATCAGGTCTTTCTAGAACTGGCCCGTGCTGCATGTTTATTGGTTCGGCGGTGTTAGGAGTCCTATTCTGACTTTGAAGTTGAGTGATGGCGACTTGCTGAGCTTGTAGCATCTCGAATATCACTTGGAGGCTGACTCCTCCTTCTTCCAGTCCTTGTGCTTCTAGGCCTCCGGCCTGGGCTTCCCTATGTGCATCTGTTAGGGGTTCTGCGCCTGCATCCATGTTTAATGAGTTGTGGGAACTGATATCAACTGGTTCCACGTTTAGCACTCCCCCAGGATTCACGGGTGGTACACCGAATCCTGTCCCGTTGTTTTCTCCAAGTCCCTCACTGTTGTGAGTAGGTGCGTTTTGCGAGCTCGACATGATTAAGCCTGGAATCAAAAGAATCTTTGACAAGAAAAAGTGTGAAGAATAACGTATGTTATTAGAAAACTAGCACTAAAATAATCACTATTATTTTTAGCCCCACGGTGGGCGCCAACCTATTTACTTCGAAAAATGTGTTTAACAATTAAAGATATTTTGTGGTTTTAAAGATACGTGGTATATTCTAATACTAGTAATTATACAAGTAATATTGAGCTTATGTAAGAAGAAATAAAGAATCGAATCAGTGTTGTTGGAACAGTAGAGGGCCTCGACCCGACTTATCCAGGGACCTCGAGGTCAACTAAGAGTAATAAAGCATGAACAATAAAGTAATGGCAATAAAGCTGAAGTATGTTTTTAGAGCACGTTAAACAATAAGAATAAGAATGTTCTATCGCAATGAATGATTCGATATTTTACAAAATGATTGGATTCCCCTTTATATATGAGGAGAAAACCCCAATATAGTACCTTGCTCATAAAGTCAAATAATCCTATTGGTACAAGTGTTAACGGCCTAGTACGGATCTATACCATTTCGTACAACCCTTATCCTATAATTAATGCCCAGGTCCACCTGTCCTTAAGACATTCCCGCTCTTTCTTGATTGACTTCGAGATAATGCTTCCCTCAATGCAGTCCGTGCCAGACACTCGATCAGCTTCCCTGAGGTACCCTTAGCCGGATACAACACCCACTTCGTGTCTCTCAGATTCGGGCTTATAGCCCGATTTAAGCCTTCAAAATCATACTCCTCGATCGTGACCATATACGGGCAGTATCTTTCTTTCAGTCACAATTCACAAAAGATAGAATTCATACTGATTTCAGGATCATTGATCATATACCTTGTATGGTAATTATGGAGCAGAATCAAGGTCTTTTGAGGAAGCCTAACAAAGATGAAGCTAAAATGGTTGTTTTTGGATTGAATAGTGAGAGTGCAGGGGGTCCAGATGGCTTCACCGGATGTTTCTTTCATTCATGTTGTGATATTATTGATGATGACATATCTGATATGGTGAAGGCTTTCTTTAATGTGCAAGAATTACCTAAATGTTTAACTCATACAAACCTTGTCCTCTTACCTAAGAAGAAAGTGGTGACTACATTCTCGCATATGAGGCCAATTAGCTTAAGCAACATCATCAATAAAGTATTCTCAAGGGTGATTAATGAAAGGTTAGTTGGATTACTTCATAGTTTAATTTCAAATGAGCAAGCAGGATTTGTAAAGAGGTGAAGCATAGTTGAAAATGTTCTATTAACCCAAGAGATCATTATTGACATTAGAATGAGAACAGAGGCTGGACCAAATGTGGTGATTAAGCTAGACATGACAAAAGATTATGATAGGTTATCCTGGTTGTTGTTGACTAAGGTATTGAGGAAGATGGGGTTTAGTGAGAGATTCATTGGATTGGTTTATGGTATCGTATCAAACAATTGGTATTCTTTGTTACTCAATGGACCGCCACACAGTTTCTTCAAATCAAGTAAGGGTGTAAAGCAAGGAGATCCATTATCTCCTACTCTCTCTATCCTAGCAGTTGAAGTTTTACCTAGGGGATTCAATGCCTTGCATATGAACTTATATTTCTGTGGATGTGGTATGCCTAATTGGAGTCCCAAGATAAATCATCTTGCTTATGCATATGATATTATTATCGTCTCATCCTCAGATGCAACATCATGGAAGTTCTATATGCGTATGAGGAGGCTTCTTGGCAACTAATAAACAAGTCCAAATCAGCAGTATATTTGCACCATTCGGCTAGTGATGAAGTGGTTTACAAAGTTAAAAGATTCACATGTATTTGCAAGTAGGAATTCCCTATCACATATTAGGGTGTCCATTATTTCATACTAGGAGGAAGATAGATCATTATCAAGGGATAATTAATAAGGTGTTGGACAAGTTACAATCATGGAAGGGGAATAATCAATAGAAGGACAAGCAATGTTGATATCCCATATTTTGCAAAGAATGCTTATTCATTTACTTTCAACTATAAATGCTCCTGTATTTGTGATCAACAAGTTGCATAAGCTTTTTGCTAGGTTCTTTTGGAGTAACTCGGTGGATGGAAGAAGTAGGCACTTGGCTTCTTATGACACTTCATCTATGCCACATGAGGAAGGGGGTGTAGGCTTTAGGTCCTTACGTGATGTGTCTAAGGCACTCTTTTGTGAATTGTGGTGGAATTTTAGAACAAAGACTTCTCTATAGAGTTCTTTTATGTGTCAAAAATATTGCAAGAGAGTGAATGCAATAATAGTTCCATAGAGGGCTGGTTCTCATGTATGGAGAAAGATGATATAATGTAGGATCTTATAGAACATCAAATGGCTTGGCATCCAAACACGGGATCATCTTTATTTTTGTTCCAAAATTGGACGGGTCTTGGTGCTCTTTAATTTGTTACTCCACCTGAATTTTATTGTGATGAAACTGTTCAGAATGTAGGTGATGTGGTGCAAAATGATATGTGTAATGTTACAAAGCTTCACCAGATTTTGTCGTAGGAAATTGCTTCGCATATAATTTACACTATTCGGCCTCCTTTGGTACATGATGTTTTGTATAAACCATTCTGAATGCTTGAAACAAAAAGGGAATTTAGTGTTAAATCAGCATAGGAATATTTGAGGAAAAGCAACGAACCTTACAATGCATACAAGATGATTCGGGTGAAAGGGTTGCCATTCAGAATTTCATTTTTCATGTGGATATTATGGAGGAATAGGTTGGATTTGTATGATTATTTTAGATTATTGGGTTATTTAATGGCATCAAGATGTTGGTGTTGTGCCAACCTAGAGGAAGAAACCTTTCGTCACGTGTTTTTCTGATTATATGCAGCTAGGAAGGTGTGGCATTGTTTTCTTTCACGGGCAGGAATAAGTTTGGAGGGCTTGTCCTTGCATCAGGCTATTGTTCGATGTTGGATTGCCAGTGTAGTTCCTAGAATACAACCTATCATGCAAGCAATTTCATCCATCATTGTATAGGAGCTTTGGAAACGTAGAAATGACAACAAATATCGGGAGGTAGTAACAATTAACATGGTCATATTCTAGGTTGCTTCATCTGTACAATCATTAGTAAAGTTAAGAAAGCCAAGCTTTCAAAAGGTACCTCATAACTGGTCAGAGCTTCTGTATGTAATGGAGATATTATACACTTGCATTGGAGATCACGAAGGTAATTTTGGAATACCCTATTTCAGGATAGATTAAAGTGAATACGGATAGGGTTTCTAGGCGAAATACAGGAAGGAGTTCAATTGGTTTGTGCTGAGGAATGAAGAAGGTGATGTGGTATATGCGTGTGAAAAAGTGATTCAAGAGGGGGAAAACACAGAGGCTGATGCTTGGGCAGTATTAGAAGCTTTGAGGTACTGCTTGCACCATGATTATATACTTATTTTGCTGCACACTGATTCAATGGTGATGAAAAGTGTTCTTGAACGATCTTGGACTTGCCCAAGGTATGTAGCTGTTTATGTGGAGGAGATCAACGCGTTCATGACTAGATGTAACATCCAGATATCACACAAACTTAGGGAAGGAAATGAATTAGCGGATCACTTACAAAACTACGCATTGAATGTAGTCTCTATAATGTGCCATGAATTCATGGAACTGGATGTTATAGGAATGAGGAATGAGGAATGTGAAAAATGATAAGTTGTAAAGCCCATATTTAAGGATCAAACCTACAAGGAGATATGAAAGAAGGGGAACTGGAGAACAAGGGAAAGCTGGAGTAAGGGCATTACACTGGATCATCATGTTCAAATCCTTATGGAAGAGAACATGGTGATCTTTGTTTATACTACCCTTATTTTCATTCTGCAGGAAAAGCTATTGTATCCATGCCTTGCCATGTACTACGAATTCAATGGCCGGTATTTGCACCAAGTGCTCATTCCCTTGAAGGAAGAGTTATCGTAAGCACAAGAATGGAGTTGATGGAGCTACATTTGCAAAGGGTAGCTGTTGATATTTGTTTCATCCCGTACTTTCCTATATTGGATTTGTCAAAAGATAGTTGATATAAGTTCAAGGACAAGACAATTTTTGAGGTTATAAGTATTTATGACTTGATATTTTGAGATAAAATACGGTCAAAAATATAATACCCCGTATTTAAGGACTAGTGCTATACCACATGATCATGATAGTAAGATATATGAAGTATATTAGTATTTAAGCAAATTAAGTGCTAGAATTAACTATGTGGATAGTTGGTTAATTATGGATTTTGGTGGGAAATTAACATGTAATTATTTTGGATATGGAAAATTCTAGTTGGCTTCCTAACATGACAGCAAGTAAGAGTCTTGATCAAGGTAAATGGTGACTCTTGGTGCATGAAAACTATGTGGCATATTTAGAAAAAAGTGTTGGCTAAGTCATCACCAAAGTGAGGGCCCACAAACATCAAAGATGAGATATTATTATACATCATTTAAGAGGGAAAGATACTTGGTAAAGGTACCATATACGTGTAGGAAAATTAGTATCACTTCCTATGACTCATCCACTCAAGAGGGTTATTAAATTAAGTGGATAATGATGGTTAAGGGGCTGCCACATGGCATAAAATTTGCCAAGGGTGGCACCAATTTGCACATGAGTCATAGCACTTAAAGCACATAGTTTACATGTATAAAGTTTGGTGATGAATCGTTAGGTAAGCCCCTAGAAGATTACACGTGTAGAATGGAAAGGAAGTCTTTAATGTTAGTAGTATGAAATCCCGTACTTTAGTACTAGGATGAGACGTATTGTCCATATGATCTTAAAAGGGATTAAAGTCTTTCATGAGGTTATAGAGGATTTGTGGCTATGTTATTGTAAGATCCTGTAACTTTAACAACCTTGATACCGATAGATACATTTTGATATGGTACCATAATTTTTCTTAAAAATATTTTTATAGTAGTACTTTAGGATGATGGTATGGAGGATTGCAAGGTGACTACGATGTCACCACGTGGCTACATAGTACGGAGAAACAAGTGACTAATACAAGTTATCATGGAGGTGGCATCTTAGAAAATTGTGGTTAAGTATTGCTAGTAGTAGTACTAGATAAAGATTAGGTAGAATATAGTTGGCACGTGTGCACATTAGGTGAAGTTATGGAATGTGTGTCTAATCTTTAGGTGAATAGTGCAAGTATATACCCATGTGTCATCAAGTAATGAAAGATTGGATGGAGTAGCTTTCCATGTCTAGTTGTGGAAGACAAGTGCCCAAAATAGGGGATAATTGTGAAGTCCACGCCGGGCTACTAAAATCCCAATCCTTATACTAATATTCCTTGGATAAGGATGTCCTTGTGGTTGCCACATGGCATGAAGTAAGGTGGTAAGCATTAACTTTTGGTGACACGTGTCCAACATGCATGAAAAGTTCCCTCCTATCTATCTAGTCATGTTTCCACTGCCAAAGATAATTAATGATGCATCATATCCTTTCGTTTCCTTCATTATAAATCAATAAGTAGCAATCGGCATTTGACTTCTTTTCAAAATCAATAAAGTACAAAAACAATGTCTTGCTTCTTCTTTGTATTTTTACAAATAAGAACAGTAATCTTAACTGGAGGTTCCTTTTATCAAATTACCTCAATTAATATAAGGTGTAGGGAGGCTTTAAAGAAGACGACTTTCGAGCTCGTATGAGCAATTAAGGTATGTTAAGGCTATCCATTCCTTCTTTTGGCATGATCCATGTAGCGATACGTAAAACGTAATGTTATTCCGTAAATGGTTCTACTCTTAGTAGTTAGCGATGTCTATGTTATTCATTCCCGTAAAGTGATATTCAAGCATGTCTAAGAATGTTCCTCATTCCCCATAGGTCCTACTACCATATTGTCTATTTATGGGTCTCATAACATTCCAAGAGATCATATTGTCTTACTTCATTATGCATTGCATTCATTCATATATATGCATTCACCCATGACTCAGACAACGTTATATATATATATATATATATATATATATATATATATATATATGTATGTATAGAGAGAGAGAGAGAGAGAGAGAGAGAGAGAGAGAGAGAGAGAGAGAGAGAGAGAGAGAATATGGGAAAGGTTACGGCGTTATATACGCACCAACACCTGATCAGCTGGTATACGATGATAATTTTACGCACAGTGGCTAAAATAATATGATGGGATGCCCTAAGAGGCTTGATGATAATACGTACGTACATATCTATGCATTACATGATATTTACACACATATGCATGACATTATAAATATTTCATGATTTACAGATATATCCAGACTTACAGGTTGAGTCCTTCACTGCATATTTCTTTCATGTCCTTTATATACTTATTTGCATGCCTTACATTCTCGGTACATTATTCATACTGGCGTCCTTTTGTTGGGGACGCTGCATTCATGCCTGAAGGTATAGATAATCAGTTTGACGAGCCCTCATAGTAGTCGAGGCTAGCATTCAACAAAGGATCGGTAAGACTCCACCTTATTCGGTGTGCAGCCGAGTCTATGAGTCATCGTGTAAAAATTTTGTTACATGCTTATGGGTCAGCTGGTACCCTATCCCATTTTATGTTAAATAATCTTAGAGGATTTGTAGACACAAGTTCATTTTGTACAGTATGTTAGAGGCCTTGACGGCCCATATGTATTCATGTCTTAAGAAAGATGGTTCGCTAATTCAGTGCTTTTCCACTTACAATTA